TCATTCCTAAAATATCCTTGCTAATTAAGTATATTGGCTAAAACTATCATTATTAGAGGGATTATCTTGGAAAAAAATGCATAAATATAAGAGACAAAATGGATTGGGTCTTATAATTAGGACCAAATAAAAAGTCAAATTGGGTCTTATAATAAGGACCGGAGGAGTATTAAGGACCGGAGGTAGTAACATCAAAGTTTCACATATCTCGTGTATCTTGCATCTAGTTAATTATCATAGTTTAATTATGCAAGATAGTGCAATAATATATTAAAAAGGAACGAAAATGAGACTATCGGGGAAAAGAAGAAGACTTGTATTCCCACGAAGAAGTAAAAATTGCCAAATACCATCTAGTAAAAATGACAAAAACATAATAAATCTTACATACAAGTTAAAAAAATAATAAACCATGAGACTTGTCTTAACTATCTAGTGAGGGGTTTGATACCCGATGGTATGTATGGAGAGGATCCCGTGACCAGTACTAAAACCCTCTTAAAAAATCTACTGTGGGAAGGGATTAGTTATTGCTAGCCATAGTAGATATCCTGGGCTCAACCAAAAAATAAAAAATAATAAACATTTTGTTGGTTTTTAATTTTTTAACAATGAACATTAGCATTTTTAAAAATTCACTTCTCTAGATAAATCCGATCCTATGTTGCTTGAAATATCACAAACTAACAATACATCTCTGCTATTATTCTCAAACAAATATTTTATTGCCCAAATCTAGTAAAAAAAATTTTATAATTTGTTTTCAAAATAAGAAAGGACGTAAATACGTAATGCTCTTTTCCTAATTGACGATAGAGAAATCAAACTCAAATAGTCAAATTCGTTTTTTTTTTAAAAAAAATCTCAATTTTCGTATTTTGTCTTGTTCTTTCTTATTTCTCAACGGACATCATCACAATTTTTTTTCTTTTCTTTTTTTCCCCCCTCGGTTTAATTGAGGAGACCATTGGTAGAATTATGAGCGGACGGCCATTCCTTTTAATTTTTTAATTTTTATTATTTTGGCCTTCCAGAATAAATTAATTGCTATTTGATAATGTTGTTTAATTGATTCCTTTACCTAATCGCGATCTCGGAATCCCGGATTCACCGTATATTTGCACATAATCCAATCAAAATACTCCCAAAATTTCTCACAGTTTTTTTAATGAGAATTTTGGCTTTTTGTTGAAATAATAATAAACTAATTAATTGTGAATGTCAACTTTTCCACACAATTCATGCTTTTCTATCTTATTAAGACCTAAGAACCCTAAATAAACAATTTTAATTTGGAGGCATGAAACCTACTGTGTCTTAACATTTCCAATGAAATAATAATATGAATTGAACAAAGAACAAAGTATCATTTTATTGGCTAAGTTATTCATTATCTCCGTATATAAACCTTTTGAACTATGTACAGATAACCTTCATAATAAGACAAATCCCCTAAATTATTATATCCAGGGGGTGTTGGATTCTAAAAAAAGCATTTTTAAAAAAGTGTTTTTACATAAGTCGAAACAAAACTCTTCTTAGATATTGACTTTGTGTACCATAAAATCACTTTTAAAATTATGGTTTAGTTTTTACCCAAACATCCTCTTAGACAAACTCTCATATAATTAATTTTATATATTACGAATCCGATAGACCAATATTGCTTGAAGTTTTTTTTATATATAATTAATTTTATATATTACGAATCTGATAGACCAATACTGCTTAAAGTTTTTTTCTTTTTACCAGCATACTGCTTAAAGTTTGGGGGATAATCTATATATCAATTAAAATTTGAGGAGTTATATGCACATAAATAAAATAAAATTTAAGTTATCACCAAAGAAAAAAAATTTAAGAAAGTATATAATTGATAGTTGGGAGTTATCAGTACAAATTTAAAAGTTTATGGAGGCTTATTTTTAAATTTTAACATTTAAATGAGTTATTTGTATGTAATCTAAAATTCAAACGAATTTTGTGTAATTTAACCCATTTTATTTTGTGAAGAGAGCCAAAATGGCAAATACAAGAAAACAGGAAGTTATCATTATATCTCCAACATCTGAAAAAACAGAGGAGAAAGGTAATGTCGTTTGTAAGGACTTATCACTTGCTTATATTTTGGTCTTTTTAATTATAAATAAAAAATAGCTTGCATTCTTTTTTTAAATAAAAACAATATTTGACAGATTTTGAAGCGTGTTTTTGGGTATTTTTATAAGATATTGTTGTCACCATATTCATGGAGAATGCAATTGTTCATTCAACTCTTCCTATCTTATTTTACTCACAACTTGGAGTGCACGCGAGTGCATTCTTTAATTATAAATTTATAGTTAAATGATTTTTATATGATGAGGTATATGAGGCCAAAGTTAGTTTTCTATTCAACTTGACCTTGCATGAAGCCTAAATTTAAATCAAACGAAATTTTGTTATAAATATATGGATAATTTATTAAATGACATGAACTAAATTAGTATTCTTTCAATCCTAAATGTAGGAACTAGTTAGAGTATTAATAAATTTTGATCCTAAATATAAGATTTTAATTTATTTTATCTCTCTTATTTATTATTTTTTAAACTAATTTATCTAACTTATAAATTAACATATAATATAACATTACATAGATCATATTTATTAGAATTAAAAAATTTATTTAGTTTTTTCAATCTATCAATGTTAATTAAGTAGCTCTTATAATCTCGTATATTAAAATTTAGAAGATTTATTAAAACGAATAATCAATACCACTTTATTTCTTATTGTAAATCACTTGTATATCAAACCCCAAACCAAGAAATACATTAATTAACCATTTTTTTTCACATTTATTCTTATTAAAAGTTGAGAGAGAGAGAGAGAGATAGAGGGAGGAGATGGACTACATAGGAAATGAAAAGTTGAAAAAGGGAGATGGAGAGGGAGAGGGAGAGGGACGTGTTTCAAGAAGCCATTACTTTAAACTTAAATTAATTAATTTTTATTAAATTAATAGGAGTAAAATTGAAAAAAAATTATTAATTATATTACAAGTGACTTATATTTTGAAACAAACTTTTGAGGTACAGTGACCTATAATAAGTAACAGAATGGTATAAATCAATTAGTTAGCACAGAAATTAGTGGTACTGAATCAATCCTCACATTCACAGTGGGATTCAAACTCATGATCTTATAGCTTATAAGTCAATTTCTTACTAACTGGACTAACTCTTACTGGTAATGATAAACATATTTTTGAAGTTATTTTTTGTGGTTATTTCTACATGAGAAAAATTTGATTCTAGCGAATCAGACGGGCCTAAATGTTAGGCTCCAAATTATCCAAGAAGTTCGTTTTCGCCGTGGCGGCGTGTGACTCAGTCTCCGCAATCCAGTTCATTCTGAGGATGAACAGCTCAAGGCCCAGCTGGGGCTGAGCAAACACTACTAAAAATCTGACGCTAAATGACAATACAGGAAACATCCTCCATCCTCATCCAGCACATTTTTCAGAGAAACTTCTTTGCGAATCTTATTTCAATTATCCCAATTTAATTTCTAATTTCAAATTTTATATTCAAAAATAAAATATAAAATGAAGATAATTCATCGAGTATTGAAAAATAATAATAATCTAATATCAAAAAACATTCATTTACCCAAAAAATAATCCAAGATCAAGAAATTCGACAAGCCTGGCTACGGAATAGGCCCCATCGTTTACTTCTAGAATGACACCATTCTCGAAATATGATTCGTTAATTAAGCGAGCACCATATAATTAATTGAATTTTCCAAAAAAAAAAATCCCGAAAGTAGTTCCTTCACTTCTTTTTTTTAAGGAAGTATTTGGATAAAACCAAACCGTAATTTAAAGAATAGCTTCTAGAAAATAGATTTTTAAAAAAATAAATTTTGTGAACAATATATTTTGTAAAAAAATAATTCTAATAAAATAAAAATATTTAGATAGTTGTTATCAAAAACACTTTTATATGTATAAATTACTAAAAATAGTATAAGTTAATACTACCTCTGGTCCTTAATATAAGACCTTGTTTGACTTTTATTTTGATCCTAAATATAAGAATCTAATCTATTTTATCTCCCATATTTATCTATTTTTTCTAAGATAATCTTTCTAATAATAATAGTTCTAGATAACAAATTTGATTAGCAAGGATATTTTAGGAAAAACATCTATTCATTATAAATAACTAACTTAACAAAGTTCTTTAATCTTTTCAAATTAGTCAACTGGATCTTATAATTAGAACCGGAGGTAGTATGATAATTACATAAAAGAAAAATTTTATAATATGTTTTAATTTGAAAAATAAAATTGTTAATAATATATTTTTTACCAACATAATAATATATAAGATAATATAATTAATAATTAATTAATGTGTATAATTTATAAAATATAAAATTAAATATGTTTATAAAAAAATTAAAGGGTGTTAGAGTCATATTATCATTGAGATTTACTCTAATAGACACAATCATACCCTCCAATTTGAGTCAGAAACAGAATAGATTTACTTTTTCTAAAATTATAGTTTTGAACCCCAAACTATGATTTTGACCCAAAACCATAGCTTTTGTTTTTTCTTGGGTGTTTGGCAAATATGAGACCCAAACAAGCCCTAAATAAGCTTCAATTAGGTACTTTACATTAGTTTCATAGTTAGCTTGAGATACTCCTCCGGTCCTTAATATAAAACCCATTTAACTAATTTGATTAGATTAAGGAAGTTAGGTAAGTTAGTTAATTATAATAAAAGTGACACATTTTTCCTAAAATACCATAGTCATCTTTCTTAATACCTCATCTCTCTCTTATACTTAATTATGGTTGAAGGAGTATCTATAGGGGTAATTTAGAGAAAATTGATAATATGAAGAATGAGTCTTATATTTAGGACCAAAACCAACTCAAGAATTGGGTCCTATATTAAGGAGCGGAGGAGTACCATTTTTTTTGGGAGGGGGGGGATCATTGCTCCAAACAAAACATGTTGTACTACGAAACATGTTAAAAGTCTAGTTCGCCAATGACGAAACAAACAACATCAAAATTTTACCATCTCCCTCCATTTGAGCGTCTACCAAATGACAAAAAAAAAAAAAAGTACACGATCCCTTGACCATTTAGAAATTTCTGAAAAAGGGTAAGTAGAAGGTAGACACATTAGGAAGACCAAAAAGTCGAAAAGGGCGACTATTTGAACCCAGCTTGATTCCCATATGAGTTATCCACCCCAGAACTAGTTTTACATGAATAATAACCAAATATCTACGGTTTAATACAAAACAACCAACTACACACGCATACTAACACTAACAATTTTCAAACCTGGTTTTAGAAGGGGGCCAAATCCAGAATGATGAATGATAGTCACTTCAGTTCCGAAGGAACGCCACCGTGGCAACACGGGAGCCAACCGCACCTCCAAACATGAAGGTTGGGTATGTGCGGATATGGCTTACATATTGAAATGGAAGATCTTTGCCTGGTTGCCCGTCCTCAGCCGATTCATGCTCCTGTGCAGTAGCAATTTTTCTCTGGTTGAAACTTTCGACTTCTTGCACCAGTTCATCCTTTGTACTGTTACACGATGTGATTACCTTCCATGTCAAGAAACAAAAGGAAAGCGTTAAGAGAGATGTCTATTATGAAAATTCGTCCGTTGGAGATATATAGCAACTTCATAGGCACAAGTTGAATACAGAATATAGCTTCAATCAACTCATCTAAACAGTAGATAATCTTTACAATTTGCAGTTATTTCAGTTAAGAAATACTGGAAATTTGGAAATAAAAGAATCCCCAAATGTTTTAGCACTTTGTAAACTTTGTTCATTTCAATATATCATTTTGCCTTTTCAGGAAAAAGAAAATAATAAGTCCCCAAATTCAGCATCAACATTGAACTTAAAGTACTTACTAGTATTCCACCAGGAGCAACCAACTTAAACAGGGAGTCCCAGTACATCATTCTGAAAATCAGAAAGCCAGGACACAGTTCCTCAGCATTAAAGCTCGGAGATAATTAATGGAGAATAGACAGAAGAATAATTCATAGTTGTTAACCCTCTAAACTCTTATTATTTATAGGACCTAATGTATTAATTTTATTCTTTTAACATAATTTGATGTAGACTGAGAAAGGAATAGAAACATAATCTTAGTAGGAAAAATAACATTGTCACAATAGAACCAATGGGAATGTAATATTTTCTATTACCTCTTGACAGGACCATCAGGATGCAATCCAATAGCATCTAGAGTCCCCTTATCCATGACCAGTCGAAACTGTCGTTCCAACTTTGTCTCGAGAACATCATCAACCTGAATCAATTAAAAGCAATGAATTATAAATGCAATGCAATCCATACCCATTAGACATGCTAACGGCATGAGATCAGGATTTCAAACTTTTCAACTTAATTCCATCCTTTTTGTGTAGTAACGAAAATTCGATGATGTTGCAAATAAATCATCTACCTCACTTGGTCACATGAGCGCAGTTTTTTCATTTCATGGCTGAGTGTTTTTTTTTTTTTTTTGGTCACGTTGTTGTGAAACCTTAATAGTGTGAAACTGCCGGGAGTTCCTAATTACCTAGGTGTCATAGAGGTTAGTATCGTCTTGAATTCTTAATTATCTATCATCATTGTCTTTAGTTTCAATTCTCGAGTGTTGTAAATAGCAAGAGAGGGGACGCAATATGTGAGGCTGATTTCCGCATATACACAACCTTTCCCCATTCACCATGCTCGGTGTTTTCATCCAGAAATTCCACTTGGTATCTAAGCCTACCAGCTTTGAATGTGCTGTCGAAAAATGGATGTTTTAATCCAGAATCTGCTTTGATAGCTAAAAATTTTCCATGCTAATGCTCCCTGAACACTTCTCAAAGGGAGCTTAACACCCCCTCAGTTTCCCCCCTCTGACAAGGCTCTGGCCTGGATTATCCGGCCCCCTTTCCAACAGAATTATTTACTTGTGGACATTCAACTTTTCCAGTGACAACTCAAGGATTTGAATCCACTATCAAACTCAACACCGTTAAAATGTTAGAACCAAGGTTCCATCATCAGAAACCTCTCAGCAAGGCACCTTTCCAAGAGAATAAACTAGATGTTAGAACAAGTCTAAGAACTGCACGCATACCGATGTGCCCAAAAAAGAGGCCAATTGGCCCTTCTAAAGTCCTTTATACCATCTACTTGTCATGTGTCATTATATCTAATGGTGTTTTCGTCCTGTCCTAACGTTTATGGTGTATTTCATGGCCTTTTCAAGTGATTCCCAGGAATAAAATTTATCCCTGTATTAAATGCTCCCATAGTTTATCTGTAATTAGTTGATTTCTATTTTCAAGCGTAGGGGACAGCTAGCTTTATGAGCCACTGAGATTTCTGCAGGTGGACATCATCTATAAATGCTGTATTAGGCTGTGCCCTCAAATCTTAAAATCCTATGGATAAGCCTGGCTCCAACTTCAACAGAAATAACGATGACCCAAGCACGTGGCATGGCCAATGAGTGAAAGCACACAAGAAAAACATAAAGCTAAAAGGATGCATTTAAACACCCAGGCACACTTACGTGCACACATATGAAACAAAATTCATAACATATTTGCATTTTAAGCTTACCAAAAATTTGATGTTGGAAAGCCCATCACGATCAGCAAGGCTTTGGGCAAGGCTTACGGCCCCTTCACTATAATCAGTACCAGTTAAATCAGAGAACCTGAATACAGACATGTCAAGAGTATGCTTACTAAGGTATTCACTTAAAACAAAATATAAGTAAGTGCAAACATCACTGCATGACCTAAATACAGAATTACCTACAAATGCCAATAGAGAATTTCATCTCAAGGAAACCCATAACACCCCATACTCCTGCTAGTTCCCTTTTGTCTCTTCAATTCAAGATATTTCTTTGCTTCTATTCTTTCTGTATCCAAATTAAAAATTTCCCATAAACTAAGTCATAGTTTCAGCATTAAGAAACCTATCTGGCCAAAACAAAAAAGTATCTAGAAAACCTATAATACCTCTGGTGGTTGAGTCAAATGAAAATAACCCCGTACTCTTAAAGCAAGGTCTCAAGTTTGAACCTTGTGAAAAGAAAATTTCACAAAAAATGTTAGAAGAGATATTTTCATTTGGGGCTCAACTATAGTCGAATTTGGACCAATAGGTACAATCACACATTACGCTCAAAAATAAAAAAACTTAATTGTGCTCCAGTATCCTTCCTCAAGATTTTGTTTCCTCACATAAAGATATTTTTTGTTTCACTTTAAGTATCTTGAGCATTGTGAGAGTGAAACTTTATACATTTCTCATAATATAAGCATGCTTTTGAAGAGGAGATACTTAAAAACACACCTCTATTATAAGAGATGTACAAAACTTCACCCTCATATGCTCAAAGATATATAGCTCATTTATACCGCTAAGCATAACCTTTAAGCTCCATCCTATTTAATAGAGTATATTAGAAGTCATTCCAAATACATGCATAACTTAGTGGCTCTTAATTTCATGAATTAAACACAGAAAAATTAACACATAACACATACTAACTTAAGAATACGACAAGACAGATGCAACCCAGAGGATATATAGACCATGATCATAAGGGAAATATTGATCTTCAATTATTTAAGCTCATCTATAACTATAAAACTTTTTGTTAAAACCTCATTAGCTCCTTCAAATCTTCCAAGTCATTTTTTTTTCTTTTTTTCATATTCTTTACTAGAATCAACCATGTAATTTCTTCCAATTGACCTAGCTCTACAATTACTGACTTTACTCGGACAGCACGTGCTCACTTGCTCATTCAAATATACTGAAGAAGATATTGGGAAGAGGTAGATACCGAAAAACACACTTATAAAAATGATACAAAATTCCACTTTCACAAAACTAGAAGATGCTTAGCAATACTACTTGCAAATGTGAGCCACCTTCTGCAGAAGGAATTAACTTGTGCTACTTTATTTCTGTGCCGAATTATAAAGTAAGGTGTATAGTAAATGCATACCCTTGTTTAGCCAGTTCCTGGAGAAGAAGACCATTGCCAGTTCCAATGTCAAGTACACTCCAACTAGATAAGAACTTATCATCCTGTTCAGTAGGCTCGTACTTGATATCATCAAGATTTTCAGGTATGCGACCTTGAGAAATGTCAAGGCACAAGGCTTTGGTCCATGACACAACTTTTTCCATCACATCAACTCCAAACCTACATACATACCAATTAATATCTTCTCCTTGTAACAATTTAAGTGGTCAAAATTATCTAGGAGTTCATGAATAGAAGTAAAAGAGTCATAAATGCAGCTATTTTCCTCCCAAGTTTCTGTTTTAAAATATTACACTAACCTTTGTTACTTTACACGTATATTCTTATTACCTTCTATTATCTTGAATTTGTTGAAGCATTAGCTTAGCCTTTTAGTAAAACATGTATATGTGTTTGTGGCCTTGTTTATGCTAAATGGATAATATGGATGAACTCGGTTAAGCTCGTGTGGCAAAGACTTGCAGAGTAATATTGTGGTAAGGCAAGAGAGCAACTACTGACTCCAGAATCTAGTATTAACTATACGGAAAATATAAACAGTGAACACATTATGGCTTTAAATAGCAAATTTCAGACGGTAGAAAGCCAAAATAGCTTTTTATTCCTAAACCTTTGCCTTTGTTGAAAAAAAAGAAAAGAAAAAGAAAAAGAATTATTTTTACTCTCATAGAGATGGTCAAAACAACTAATACTAATTATTACCCATTCTTGTATGGGTCATCAGCATATGGCATCTAGTCAGCAATTACGGGCGGCTGTCGGCTGATGACTTAATAAAAGAAGCGTTGAATCATGGTATCAAAATGTATTTTGAATATCAGTAAGAAGTTGATAGCATGCTTTGCTTCAAAACGATAAGATCAATTGAAAGTTCTTTTTTATGATGTTATAAGATTTGGATTATGCTAAATTCTTTGCCATTGGATGTTTCTAATTAATCTCCATGAAAACTCGCACAGAACAGTGAAGCGCATAATGTAGTCAAAATTTGTTTACCAGACTTCACCAGCATGGCCATGCTCACGAAAATTTGCAAGCTCATCTGCATAAGCAGAATCCCAATAACTCTGAAAACCTAGCATTGACGTAACTGCCTCAGCATCAGGTTCATCCTTGTCAGAACTGCACAACAACGACAACCCCAAAAAAAAAAAAAAACAACTTAAGGATACATAATTTGTCCAACCTGTATCACTGATTTAACCCTCCTTCCTTAATATAAACAACAAAATGGCACAATAATTACAATTTACATGCACATAGCTAGAGCAATTATTACAATTTATAAGCATAAAATAATTTAGGGATAAGAAACGATCACATTCATTATCCAAAATGCACAATAGCCTGATCGATCCTCTTTCACTTTCTTCAGTACTTTCAATTTCATTCTCTCAAAATTCGAAGCAACGACGACGCAATCAACTGCATCCGAAGTATTTCACTAATTCCACTCAAAATGCGTCATATATACCTATTCTCTCTTTACAGGCCCCTTTCACAGAAAATTAAGCGTAGAGCGCCGCAGTAAAAAAAAACAAAAAAACAACGAAAAGAGGAGCCGAAAAAGACCTGTAATCCGAGGCGGCCCGGAAGTTGGCATTGGACAGAGCTTCAGCAGCGTCAGCATGGCGCTGCTCGTCGTCTAGGGTGCTGCCGTAATCACTCTTGATGGACCAAGAATCTGCGGCGACAGAGCGGTCATCGTCGGAGACCAGATCGGCCGAGGGCACAGAAACTGCTGCCCGCGCCTGCTGTGAGGCGTCGGACTCCTCAAGATGGAGACGAAAACCGGCCATGTACGACGGTCACGACGCAGAGAGAGAGAGGCGGTTTTGAGATTTTACTGCTGTTTGTGGACTGTGTAATAGCAGGATATTTTCTTCGCTGACACAGGTTTCGATCTTGAGCTACAACGAAATGAGCCGAATTCTCTGTTGCTTCCTCTCATGGAGGATGTAAATCTGAAAGGCCAACATTTTTTATATATAGATTTAATCTAATTTCGGACAAATTTCAAATTTTAATAAATTAAAAATCCTGTATCAAAAAATAAAATAAAATTCACATTTACGTGAATGCCCTTTACTTTCTTTCTTTTTTTAATAAAAAACCTCCACGGTCGCCATGGCCAATCGGCGGAGCCGCCAGCTGCCAGAACTTCCTTGAGGGATCTAATCGAAACATATTTTTATTTCAGTCTTACAGTTACGGGCCAGCAAAAGAATTTTAAAATAATGTGGGCTGAAAATGTTATTTTCTTCACTGCGAGATGCCTCAATGATATTTTCTCACAGAATTATGAAGTTTCCCTTGGCTAGGTTTTATCTCAGAAATTTCATAGAAGAATGACAATTGTATCCCCAAATATCAATTTGATGATAGTTAGGTCTTTCATAAAAAACTGTGAAAATTGATTTGCAAATATTGATTCAAATATATACAAATAGGAATCTCAATTACAAATTGAGAATTATATTTAAAACATAGATGCTTGATTTGTAATTAGTACTCCTGAATTTTGAACAGTTTAATTTTATATTTTTAACTAAATTAGTGTTACAGGATTCAAGTATCATTCTACCAAATTTCATGTCAATTATGCTACTAAGTCCAAATTAAATAGCGAACTTTCTATGTTGTTAGCTTTTGGTTTGGTATGTTCGCCTCTTTATTTCAAGTTTTGACTTGCTTCACTTTAATGTGTCCTGCTTACTATTTTTAGTCGTTAATATAAAACTAATTAACTAATTTGAAAAGATTAATAAATTACTTAATTATAACATATATTATATGGGGTCTGTTTGGGTCAGGCTGGGTTGAGACAAGAGGTCTGTTTGGGAGAGCTTGGAGCTCATTGGGCTTATTTATTTTTGAGCTGTCTGAACGCTGGGCTGAAATAAGCTCCAAGAAGGAGCTTATCAATTATATCAGAAGAGTTTATTCATATTAGCTGTTCTGCAATGTCAGAGTATTGGATTCTTTTTTTTCTCTCCCATCCGCCTTTTCCCTTAAGCTCGCTCACTTCCCTTCTTTTTCACCTAGAACTCCCACCTTGCTCCGTTGCTGGTCACCTCGCAGAAAGTCCCTCCCTGGTCGCCATGAGCTATGCTTTGTCATCATCGTGAGCTCAGCGTGGTGGGTGTGAGGTGTGCGTGGCCTATTGGAGGCTGCTCCTTCCTCACAAGTCCAAGCTAGTCCTACTGTTTGCAACTGAGGTCACCACTGTTTGCTTGTGCTTTGGAGCTGTGCGTGGAGATCTTGCCTTGGCAGTCTGATACACCATCAGATCTACCTCTGGTAGCCTTCAGTTGGTTTGATCTGTTATAGGTTGGGCGGTAATTTTTTTTCTTTCTTTCCTGATTTCATCCCGTGGTTGAATTTGTTGTCGCTGGTGGAAGCCTTAAAATTAAAGCCTAAAAATTGGTTTAATCAAGAGTTCTCCTTCGTGCTGGTCGCCGGTGGTTGTTTTTTATTTTTTTCCTTCTGGTTGTCGTGGTCCTCTGTTTTTGCTGGCTAGTGGTTGTCTTTATTTTTTTCCTTCTGGTTTTCATGGTCGTCTACTTCTGCTCACCGGTGGTTTGGGCTTTTTCTCCCCCCATCGTGGTTTTGGTCATCTTGTCTGAGGTGTTGAGGTGAATTAACGACTATCTGTTGGAGCAATGAATTTGCGTAGAGCTTGTGATGATCATTTTGGATATGTGATTGTGTATACATGCATATGAGCTTGTGTATATTTGTATAGATTGTGTTACACTAATCATTCGGTTGCAATGCTGCTGGAATTTTGAAAGAAAAATGTACAAAAAAATTAATGGTTTCTATTGGTGTAAATCCAATAACCTCAATTTGCAATTTCATATGAAAAAGACTTTCCCATTGGTAGCTAATGCTTATCTATTAAGCAAGGAAAATTCTATGTCAAAATTAAAAAGGCTTGTTATTCCTAATATATTAATTTTTATGACTTTAGTGGTTTTATGTGAACAGCTTGTATAGATTGAAAAAATTAATTTTAAAACTATTTTTTTGTCCCTTTAATTAAGTTTTTGATAGCACAATTAACTACTAAATTGTCTTCCCTAATTAAGTTTCTATTTAAAATATGGCATCTCCAATTCAAAGATGAACAATTTTTTTTCAAACAATAAGAAAAATAATTGACAAATTCAGTTTTGAAAAAATTTTCACAACCAATTACCACTAATTAAATATTTATAATTTTAAAAAATTTTGAATAAGAAAACTAAACAGCTTTTGCAATTATAATGTCTTAATTAGTATTTTATGACTTCATAATAATAATCAAAGTTTTGATAAGAAAAACATTTACAATAATATTAAGAAAATAAAATATATGTTTGTTTGGTGATTACATAATATGGCTTTTATTATTACATAATTAGGGTTTTGGTTGATTCAGTTAGTGTTCTCTCAATCAAAAGGCATAGAGAAATGGATAATGATAAGAGAAAAGCGACATGGGATCCTTACACGACAAAGATTCTAATCTATGTTTGCGCTGAGCAAATAGTGCACAAGGAATGACAAGGAACATCGTTTACAAGGCCCGGTTGGGAGAAAATTGAAAAGAACTTTCAGGAAAGGAGCGGGAGAAAGTATGACAGGAGGCAATTGAAGAATAAATTTGATATATTGAGAAAAGATTAGAAGTTGTGGGATAAACTAATGTCTGGAGAGATTGGAATTGGTTATGATGCAGCCACAAATAGGGTTTTGGCCTCCGATGAGTGGTGCCAATGAAAATTAGTAGTAACTATTTGCGTTGGTTGAGTTTTAATTTTGAATATCCGCTAAGACTTCGCTTAATTTTGCCTAATTATGTTAATGTAATGTAGGTTGACCCTAATTTCAAGAAATTTAGACATCAAGGGTTGATGTTTGCATCAGATCTGCAAAAAATATTCAAAGATGTTGTGGCTTCGAGAGACTATATGTACGCACCATTAGCCTTATAGCTCCAGTCGGCACCTGTGACACAGGCTAATACAAAAGAGGAGGAGGATGTTTATAGAGTCGGCCTAGACCAATAGGAAAGGTCGAGGGACAGTGAGGACAAAAATTTCGGTGTTGACCCAACATCCAGTACAAGGTTCACAGATGACTTTGCCGGTTGCAACTTAAACAACCCTGTGAGTATTAGACCAAGTGGCTCAGGAAGCTATGGAAAGAGGAAAAGGGGTGAGACGTCTGATGCAAAGAAGAAGAAAAAAGTTGCTGTGCCTACTAAAATTTCTGATAGCCTTAGTGTTATAGCAGCTGTTTCTGACAAGTGAGCAACAGTATTGGTTGAAGATCCCTAACTAGTTGACAAGGCTTTGGCTCACTTGACTACCATTGAGGAGCTTAATAGTAACAATCAACTATATTATGCATGTGCCAAGATGCTTATGTGGTTGAGGTGGGCTAGGCGACCCTATTTAGGGTTTATGCATCATAGAAGCAAGTTGTTGGCATGGTTACTACCAGCAACACATGACCCAGACACATGGAAGGGACCTGTAGATTAGGATTTAGTTTAGGAATAGTTGTTTCACTATTGTTATTGCACTTGTTAACTTGAACTGATTGCTGTTTGAACCTGAACTGATGTGACCTGTTGTAGGAACTTTATTAATGACTATGTAATATATTTATGCTAATTTCTACTTGTCATCTATGTGTTTTTATTTTCTGTTTCAGTATGAAAATTATTTACACTTTGTTTATTGTAGTCCTTATAATGCTTACACTTTGTTGTCATCATAGTTATAAGGTTAGCTCCAAAAATGGCTAATTGGAATGATGATTCACCATGGAATGAAGATACTTTGAGGAATTGGAATAATGATTCACAATGGAATGAAGATGACCATTCAAGACGATTATCCATGATAAATGAGGAATTAACACAATATGAAGCAGTAAGTACATTGGTTGGTCATTATTATGAAATGTATATTTTAAACAACCCTGCAGAACTAGTGAGCGGATAGAAAATATATGGGTACAAGGCATTATGAATGGGCATGATGATTGATGTCCTGAAATGTTTAGAGTGGATAAACATGTTTTCCACCTCTTATGTACTAAATTGGAGGAACATGGTTTACGAAAGTCTAAGTACGTAGGAATCGAATAAATGGTCGTGATTTTTTTAAGCACGGTTGCACATGGACAATGCAATAGGATGATCTAGGAACGATTTCAACGTTCAGGGGAAACTGTAAGTAGGCACTTCCACAATATACTGCAAGCTTGCCTTAGCCTTTCGAATGAACTTATTTGACCCATAGATCCTACATTTTGTGGAACTCATAGAAAAATTGAGAATGATCCATGTTATTATCCATTTTTTAAGGACACAATCGGAACAATTGATGGCACTCACATATTGTGTGTTGTCCCCACTACAAAATGAGATAAATTTATTGGCAGAAAAGGAAATCCATCACAAAATGTCATGGTTGTATGTGATTGGGATATGTATTTTACTTTTGTCTTGGTAAGATGGGAGGGATCTGCATATGATGCTTGTATATTTGACAGTGTTATTACAAATTCATCTCTAAATTTCCCTCATCCACCTCCAGATATATGTTTATATGTTCCAATCACGCACGTTTTTAATTATTTCATATTTTTATTCGTTTCACAATGTCTCAAATTGTTTCATGAATTGTTAGGGAAATATTACTTGGTTGATGCGGGATATCTAACACCAAATAGATATCTAGGTCCATACAGATCTGAGCGCTACCACCTTCTGGACTTCCGACGACAAGTAGGATTCCGAAATAGTAACGAAGCTTTCAATTATTATCATTCCAGTTTAAGGTGCACAATAGAAAGAACATTCAGTGTTTGGAAGAATAGATTTCAAATCCTACGAAATATGCATAGTTACGACTTTCAAACACAAGTTTA